GCACGCGTGTGAGCCGCTCTGTCACTTCTTCCCATGGCAGATCAGGGCAGGCCTTTTTAAGGGCCCGCCCAAGAAGCCTGCGGATGGATCAAGAACAGTGGTTTTTTCAACGCAAGGTCTACACGTGAGCAAGAAAGTTGATAGTAAGGCCCATAAAAATGCCGCCGCAGCCTAAACTCACGTGTTGATGTTTGTGAACACGGCTTCGCGCTGATCGTAATGGACGCGTGCGGAGTCGTAAAGGACTGCTATAACTATTTCTTCCGGCGCCGTGGCTTGGTATTCCTCGTTGCTTAGGAGCAGCAGACGGGGGTCCCTAACAACCACAAGGCTGAAATGATGTACTGGTTCACTGCAGAGAAACAATGGAGCGGAAGTCAGGACATGAAGACAACCGTCGGAAACATCAATGAACCTTAAACGAGAGCTCTGTGAACCACCCTAAACCAAATTAATGTCTCCCTCACTTGTTGAAAACCACGATGCAAACGTAGTCGTGCTCGAACAGAGTTTTGCAGTCGACTCCGCATGCAAGCTCCTGTCCCCCGGTGACGGTTTGGAAGGCGAGCGTGTCAAGCGCCAACCACGTTTTTCCGTCTGGAAGCTCCTTGTAAAGAAGGCTCAACACCCTGAAACGATACGAACACGAATGACCATTAAAATGAAGGCGATGAGTACGTAATACTAGTAAACCGCGTATCAGGACTTACACGTTGTGAAAGTCGATAATTGAGGTCGATAGCTCGTAACCATCCTGTATGTGGAGGGCATCCATGATTGTCACCTTCGCTCTCTGGCCGTGATGATTTTTTAACTCATGAATTGGGAAATGGTTACTCTTAACAGACCTAGGAAGCTTATCGTTCACGCTGTCATGAACTTTGACACCCTTCGCGAACCTTGATATTATGTCGTCGGGCTCCGGCAGCACATCTACGCCTTCTAATATAACTGGGACCTTAAATTCTGGGCTCGGAGCCGGCACAATGTCGCTCACATCCTGCTTGCCCCTGGTTGATCGTTTCCCTCGCGTAACGGCGGTCTGATTACCTACGGCTTTTTGGGTCTTGAGGCGTGTAGAATGCCTAGGAGGCGTCATCGTGAGCTAACCTAATAAGCACTACGTGAACTTTATGAACTGCTGCTGGTTTGGAAAAGGCGGAGAGGAGGATGCTATGGTAATTGAAAAGTAGAGGTGAGAATGAGAGAACAAATGAGTCGCTACTAAATGATGTCAAAACCCTTGGTCCACGAGAGACCCATGGAGGAAATGGCGATTGCGTGCTCACGAGACGTTGACGGGGGAGAAGTCGACGTGAAGCAAGGACGATGAAATGACAGACCGTTGCGCGCGTGCATGCAACGGTGCTTAACCAGCCAAGTTTAGTCCAAGGTGTCACGCACTTATTGACTGGAACCCTGCCATTGATGGGTGTCGAATGAAAGTGCAGAAGACTCGTGGAAACATGAACAGCTGTGTTTTACAGCACACCAATAAAGGCAAAGTCGTAATGAGTGTGTGCAACATTCACGAGATGTTTGGACCCGCCCACAAAAACCAAGAAAGTGTACAGAATTCGGTGTTGATGGTGAAAACTGACCACGGGAATCGGGCGCGATCGCGTGGCAGGAGGCCTGTAAAAACCAGTGCCCGTTGGAATTGAAGACGAGAAAGCACGGCGGTTCGTCATTCCCTCCAAATTTCCTCTGACGCAGATGTGCGCACTCTGTACAGAGTGCGCCTCGAGAGATCATACTCCCTCCTTGGTGGGCGGATGAATTCAGCTCAGCGCTATCGACGAGCAGCTATTGCATCATGTGCTCTATTGAGCACTTGGTGTCATTGCTTTAGTATTTTCTGTCACTTCACTTGTACGCAGCGCAATCTTTAGGCGTACCGAAGAGACGCAGACCCATGCATTCTCTTCATTATTCCCTTTTCACAGTCAGAATCAGTTAATGTCACGCAACCCCCATGCACATAGCACGCAAGGTTGACAGCGCACGCCTCTTATGCGACAGTCGCGTCGTACGACGAGACGCTGCGGCGGGAAGGATAGTTTCTTGCAAACCATAGTCGCCTAAAGTCCACGCCCTCCCGTCGCGAGTACTTCCTGCACTCCGCGAGTCGCGTAATTCATCTGAAACCTTGCCACACGAGTCACGTGACATTCCGCCCAGCGAATCAACTCAAGCATTTCGGAGATAACACGCTTCTCATAGCATGTGAAAAAAAAAAAACATTTCCGGAAAACAGCACCGTGACGAGTTCTGCGGAGCCTCAAAAGTAATTTCCGAAAACCCACGCTTTGCAAACCGTGACGATGATATCGCGTATCAAGGCCGTCGAGTCGATAATACCATACCCCGTCGCGTTCGCTTGGGCAATAATTGCGACAATTCTCCTCTGCTCGCTCTCGATCGTCACCCTTCAGTTTCCCCATGGCTGCGGAGAGAACGGCAATATCTTGGCGACAGAACTAGGGCTCGCAAATGGACCGCAAGAAAGCGGTCTCACGCTGCAAGCCAAAAGCGTCGAAGGTGGTGCGGCGGGAGAGACAGAGTCATGCACTGATTGGTTGTCAACCAGCCGTCCAGTTCAAGGCGGCGCGCGCCCAGATCCGTGGGGTTTTACAAAGGTACCTAGTGCTTGTATTAGTAACCTCGAAGCCTGACTTTGGGGCAAGTTACGTGGGCCCTTAGGTGACTTTCGCGTCGAGACAGTATTAGGTCGGCTCAATCAGTGTTACTCCTCTCGTGCTCTCCACCTTCCCGCCTGTTGTCCCCTCCACCCTTCCCCCCACACACAACATTTCCTCCCCCCCTCTCCTTCCCTCCCCGCCTCTCCCTTCCCCCTCTCCCCCCTCCACACAACCCCCGATTTCCTCTCCCCCATTCCCCGCATTCCTTCCCCCCGGTTTCCCCCTCCCTCCTCGCATTCCTCTCCCCCGTTCCATACACCTCCCCGCACGCCTCTCCAAGGCTCCTGGTCCCAGTTCACCCCCGGTCAGGGGGATATGATTCAGCGCACTCGAGTGCGCTGCTACAGTCCCGAAAATGTGCCCTTTTTGTTCCCCTTTTTCCCAACCTTTTTGTTCGTTCAGGTGCCTCAAGGTTCTTTCCGTCACGCCCTGACAAGCATTCCCCCAGTGCATGCGCGCAATCCGCAAAATGTTCCTCTCCCAATCTCACAGGGGATCTATGCCATTCCTTCAAAAGACATTTTCTCTTCCCTTCCCCCTGCCCGCCTTCCCCACAATACACGCAGTGGACACCCCGCGTTTCCCCGTGCCTTGTAGCGGGGCTGCCTATAGAGGAGCTTGATGCGCATTTAAACTTCCGCCGGGGGTGGACGCTCGGGTTCACGGAGGACGTGGAAGATAAGACGCAGATTCTGCCGTTGATGCGAGGCGCCATGGATCCTACAATGCACGCGAGGTGGGTGGTAGTAGTATCAATTACTCACTGGTAGCTCGATACAGTTCGAACTTAGTAATAGTACGCGTCGGCTTAAACCAAACATATTCACTACTTTGTGCCTTCTTAGAATGAAACATTTCCCCATCTTCCCTCCGGTTTCTCCAATCTGCCCCCAAAACTCCGCGTTCCCACAGCAAGCGGACGGTTTATGTCGATTTGGGAGCCACGACGTTCAACACGAGCGTCACCTGGTTTCTCCAGATGTTACCCCCTCGATTTCACCGAGATTCACACGGTGGAAGCGAAACCAGGGTCCAACCAATCAGAGCGTCAAAACATGCAGATCTGAGGAAGCCTTTCCAGCCCGTCCCTTTGTGCTCCCATCCACGAATCTCGCTTTCCCACAGGGAGCGGAGGGTTTTCCTCGACCTGGGAGCCAAGGAGTTCAACACGAGCGTCACCTGGTTTCTCCAAATGTACCCCCTCGATTTCACCGAGATCCACGCGGTGGAAGCGAGACCCGATGTGTTTCAAACGCCATCTCCAACAACGCCGAAGGTGTGTGCACTGTGCATATATGAAATACTTCAAATAAAAGCATATTGGAGGGGTAAGAAAGTTATGCGAACAGCTAACGAGCGCCGGGAGAGATGGTGGGGGAGGGGGTAGTGGGGAGTGGGGGGGTGGTGGGGGCAAGGGGGGTTGTTGGGGTTGGGAGAGGAGGGAGGGTGAGTGCGAACTAGGGACAAAGACAATGTTCTCAGTCAATATTATGCATACACTGTATGCATCCTTGACATATGAAGTGACCAACATAGGCAGGGTTATTTCTTCAAAACATGTCTTCTATGGTCTGTAACGTGGGGATGAAGATGTGCAATATGTAATAAATCGAAAAAATGCCCCCGCATACAATACCCGTTCCCATTTCCTTGAGCCCAGCGCTCATACTCCTCCCCCCGCTTTCTTCATTTTCGTTCCCCCTGATACACCTCTCCTGCTATATTAAATGCATATACCCCCCAATACTTGAAAGAAGTTTCAGGCGTTCACAAAACTAGTAAAAAAACTGAAGGAAACTTGTCGTCCAACCCCTTCAAACCCTTCTTCACCGCTCTGAACTGCTTCAGGTACTGGCAAACGGTTTGGGTCTGAATTCACGCCTGCGCCCGAGACGAGGAGGCCCAGCAGACTTCCCCAAATGGTTGCTGCAACGCGTTCATCCCTACAACTTCTACGTCTCTTCCAAAGACAACCAAGAGAGGGTAAGAAGACGACAAAAACGAAATCTCATTTGAGAGTTCTCAGAGTGGTTGCCGCTACGAGTTCACCCCTACAACTTCTATGTCTACCAAAGATAACCGAGAGGAGGTAGTTAGATTAAGAAATAGAGACATAAAGCACCAATATTAAGCCGTACAAGAGTTTATTCTGTTTCGTCCTTCTGGCTTGTGTATTGCCCCCCGTTACTGCCTTTCTGCCCTTCCTTCCTTTCCTGCTCGATTCACCTTTTTCTGTTCTCTTCCCCTTTCCCCTCTCACGTCACCCCTCTTTATGCTCTCTTGCTCCCCGTTCCTGAGCGCTTCACCCTCTTTATGCACTTTTCCTGCCCGTTTCTGGATGTGGGTACTGGATGGGTATTGGATGTGGGTACTGGATGGGTATTGGATGTGGGTACTGGATGGGTATTGGATGTGGGTACTGGATGGGTATTGGATGTGGGTACTGGATGGGTATTGGATGTGGGTACTGGATGGGTACTGGATGTGGGTACTGGATGGGTACTGGATGTGGGTACTGGATGGGTACTGGATGTGGGTACTGGATGAGGGTAGTAATTGAAGGTGCTAGGTTCAGTCATGTTCCCTTCTCTCCTGTCCCTGTGTTTCCCCCTCCCCCTCTCCCTCTCTTTGCTCCCTCCTAGAACGCCGTGAATGGAACCAGGTGGAATCGGGACAAGCTACAACTGAGGAAGGAGCACTCAGTGACTCTCTTTACCCACTTTCCTCCCATCTCACTCCTCCCCGTCCCCAGCTCTTTTTCCCAGTGAATGTGTCCAGCTAGGAGAAAGAGGTGACAGGTATCAGGACGAGCTACAGCGAGAAGGATAACAAGTACTACCACCCTCCTTTACCAGGTGTAAAGTACTAATTCCAAAGCCTGACGAGCGTGGCCAGGTGGTATCTGGGCAAGCTGAATCTGAGGGAGGAACACTCAATGGCTCTCCTTGCCTGCCTTCTTCCTGCTCCTTCTCTCCCATTCCTCCTCCCGCCTCCCGTCCCCTGTCTTATTCCACCTCCCCTATCCCCCCTTCTCCCACCGTCTTTTCCTGTCTCTCCTCCTCTCACCCCTTCTTGCCCCCTCTCCCCCATCTTCCTCCCAGAACACTGTTAACGTGACGCGGTGGTTCTTGGGCGAATTGACTTTTGAGTCGACTTAAAGTCCTCTCACCCCTTCTTGCCCCCTCTCCCCCCTCGTCCACCCAGAACACTGTCAACGTGATGCGGTGGTTCTTGGACAAAATGCAACTGAAGGAAGATTTTATTTTTGAGGCGCCTCAAAAATATACCAAGTCAGCAGTGACGAGGTGGTTCTTGGAGGAACTGCAGCTGAAGGAAGAAGAAACAGTGGCTCTCCTGACCTGCTATCCACCTGCTCCCTCTCTCCCTGTTCTCATCCTGGTTACAGTCTCCCATCTTACCCCTCCCCTCGCTCCTCTCCTTCCCCTCTCTCCCCCCCTCTCACCCCATCCCCTGCCCAGAACATGGTCAACGTGGCGAGGATGTTTCTGGAGGGCCTGCAGGTGAAGGAGGAGGACTCGGACTTACTCTTCCCTCTCTCCCCTCTTCCCACCCCCTCTCCCCCCGTCTCCCTCCTTCTTCCCCTCGTCGCCGCCCCTTCCCCATCCCCCGCCCAGAACATGGTCAACGTAACCAGGCGGTTTCTGGAGGATCTGAAGCTGAAGGAGGAGGACTCAATCATAGTGGAGATGGGCATAGAGGGGCACGAGTGGGCGATTCTGCAGCACTGGCTCTCTAACCCTCTCCGCCCCTCTCCCCCACTCTCCCCCCGTCTCGCTCCCTCCCCCTCCCAGAATATGGTCAACGTAACCAGGTGGTTTCTGGAGGATCTGAAGCTGAAGGAAGAGGACTCAGTCGTTGTGAAGATGGATATAGAGGGGCACGAGTGGGCGATTCTGCAGCACTGGCTCTCTAACCCCCGCATGGCAGCGATCGTAGACGAGTTGTTCGTGGAAGTGCATTATCATCACCCAACCATGACGGAGTTTTCTTGGACTGCACCACAATTCAATCACACGCGCCATGATGCGACGGGGTTGCTGACTGATTTGAGGAAAGCCGGTTTCTATGTGCACCCTTGGCCGTAGATGGTGCAGTGTAAATTCCAGCGTATAGCGTTACAGTGCTGCGTGGTGTATTGCTAGTTAACTCAAAGGTGTACACCGATATAATATATGAGCTGTTTGGGAGTAGCAGCCGTTTTTTTTGCAGCCAAAAACTAGGATCGAATGAAGTCTGCTGGTAGCTTAGGGCGTGTGTGAATTTTTTTGGGGTTCGTATATTAGGTCGAACTTTAGGTGGTAACCAGTTTCGTCAATGTTCGCAAAAGACTTCGCCCATGTTGACTCCGATTGCTAGAGTACCAGGTGCGAACCTACAAATGTGAACAAGATTCGAATATATGCACAAACTTTGTGTTGCACACTGAACCGAACGTGTGTGGTTTCAGGCACGTACGAGGAACCAGCGAAACTCGCGAAGTTTTCGTGCACCAATGGAGGCACAACCGATACCCGTAGCAGAGTCCCCCGCTCGCGAATCTTTCGTCCCCGGCACTTTTTTTAGCAGCGATTCGTTGACGTGTCGCGCTGTCAAGAATACAATACCAGGTAACCTACGCACCCCAAGGCGGCTCGGTTCCTCCCCTATAATCTCGAACCTGCAAATTCGCACTTTCGTGTGTGATTGTGAATCTACAATCATTGTCACCTGCGGTTCGAACATTGCCAATGCTCAAAGTCGAGTCATGTTGAAATGGTTAAATCGAGTCAAAAACATAAACTTATGGCAAAATAAAAAATCACACACGCCCTAATTGCATAATACGGTACAATAAACTGTCGGATCTGTCAAAATGTTATATTGCTTACATTGTGTATGCTGGTAGCCCATAAAGGGTACAACCCAATTAGGGTTAATATTTATATCCAACTCATTCATAGTTCATTCATTCTCAATCGGTATTCTGACATGGTATCAGAGCAGGTCTTGTTCTAGGACCGGTTTTTTTTAGGGCCCACCACAGAGCGCTGCCCCACTAGTCGCGTCGCCCTGCCCTGCCTGTCGCGTCGCCCTGCTGGCTGTCGCGTCGCCCTGCCCTGCCCGTCGCGTCGCCCTGCCTGCTGTCGCGTCGCCCTGCCCTGTCAGTCGCGTCGCCCTATCGGCCGTCGTGTCGCCCTGCTGCTCGCACAGCCCTGCTGCGCGCCGCCCTGCTGCTCGCGCCGCCCTCCTGCTGCCCGCCCTGCTGCGCGCAGCCCTGCTGACTGGCGCCCTGCTGCACGCACGTCGCCCTGCTGGCAGCCGCACCGTTTTCCGCACCGCCCTGCCCGCGCCGCCCTGCCCTGCCCTGGCTGCGCACCACTCTTCCCTAGCCGTGCGCCGCCTCTCCCTGCCCTGCGCGCCTCCCTAGTGCTCGCGCGTCGCCTTGCCTGCGTGCTGCCCTGCTGGTCGCGCGCCACCATGCTCTGCCCGCTATGGCTTCTCTCAGTGTACTCACATTCGATCATGAGGGCCGTCCGATCCAGTTCGATATGTGGCTCGACGACTTACAGCTGTACCTGCTGAGCGACTCTAGAGACAGCGTTTCGTTGTTTGACCACACGTCTGGAGCCTCTTTCACCCCTCCTGCCACAGCTGACAGTGCGACTCGCTCACAGTGGCTTACCCGTGACGCTGCTGCTCGCTTAGCCGTTCGCAACCATCTGCCGTTAGCCGAACGCGCTCACTTTGGCCAGCACAAGACTGCTAAGGCCATGTACGACACTGTAGTCGCTCGTTACTCCTCCCCTGCCACTGCTGCTCTCGGCCGCCTTATACTGCCCTACCTGTTTCCTGACCTGCCAGCCTTTGCCACATTCGAGGACCTGGTTACTCACCTTCGCACTAGCGACGCTCGCTACCGCTCTGCCCTCCCAGCCGAGTTCCTAGACAGGCACCCCCCCCCCCCCCCTGAAGTACATCACTCTCTACTTCATAGTCACCCGACTCCCTGACTCTTTTCGCGTAGTCAGGGACCACTTTCTCGCTCTTGACCCCACAGACCTCACTGTCGACCTGCTCGAGAAGCACCTGTTGAATCAAGAAGGTTAAGTGAAGCCTAGGGTTTAGGCTTAGGAAAGTAGCGAGAGAAGATGCAAGCCAAAAGAGAGGCTTCACTAATGAGAATAGAAAGTACAAATAGGTAAACAGCAACACAAGGAGGTGCACCACCAAACATGATGCAATATCTACACTACAACTGCAAACGATTATATAAAATATGTAAACATATTTTGACAGCACCTCCTTGCAGCTGAGACTAGCGTAGTCGCTGTAGGTGCTGCTCGTGGCACTCCTCGCACACCCTTGTTTGAGGGGTGTTCCCCCTCCCCCCTTGCCCCCTCCTACGCTTCTGCTGCTGCTGTTGACATCCTTGGTACTGAGGAGGTCAAGGCTGCTTCTGCTCCTAGTGGGAAGCGCCGCAACGGCAAGGGCAAGGGAGGCAAGAGTGGTGGAGGTGGCAGCGGGGGTGGTGGTGGTGGAGGCAGTGGAGGCGGTGGAGGTGGCGGAGGTGGTGGCAGCGGTGGGAGTGGTGGTGGGATTGGGGGCTTCGGTGGCGGCGGTGGTGGCAGCGGTGGGGGTGGGGATGGCGGTGGTGGCGGCAGTGGGAGTGGTTGCGGCGGCAGTGGTGGCAGTCGAGGTGGAGCTGTTCAGAGAGGAGGTTCTGGCGGTGGCCAAAGGCAGCAGCAGCAACATCGGAGCGAGACCCCTACGCCTCAGCAGCTTCGTGAGTGGTTTGCTCAGCATGGGGCGTCTGGAGGTAGTGTTCGCTGCCTGTATGTCATTCGCACAGGTGACCGCGCTGGTAAGACATGCGGGAAGCTTCACACCCAGCACTGCTGCTTCTCCCGCCTTGACGACGCTTGGCGCGCAGAGTTTGGCGACGAGGATAAGCGCCCCTACTGGCTAGAGCTGCTCAGGTCTGGAGTTGATATCTTTGCTCTTGAGTATGATGTTATCCTTGCTGCCATATATGCCTTGTCTGTTAATGCTGAAGGTGGCTGTTACCTGTGTGTGCCGCCCAACCCAGGTATAGAGGCTGCTGCTCTAGGTGCTAGTGAGTCTGCTCTCTCTGGTACTGCGCCTGCTGAGGCCTTGCACACCTTCACGCTTGACTTAGGTGCTTCCCGCTATTTCTTTTGCGACAGTACCACCCTCACTCCACTCCCTGCACCTGTTCCGGTCAGACAGGCTGACCCCTCAGGTGGCCCAGTTCTTGCCCGTTCCTCCACTATTCTCCAGTGGCCGGCGGTTTTGTCCGGCTCACTCTCAGGTCTTCACCTCCCCTCGTTCTTAGGTGTCCGCGTCAGGTCCGGTAGCAGCCCCATGCTCGTGTCGCCTCCTCTCGCACCAGACTCTCCAGTGGCACCACCGCCTTGGTCACCCCTCCCTACCACGCCTTCGTGGCATGCACTCCCGCCTCCTTGTTTCTGGTCTTCCCAGGTCTCTGCCTCCCCTCCCGCCCTCGCCTGCCCCGCCCTGCCTTCTTTGCATCGAGAGGCAGCAGCGCGCTGCTCCTCACTCCTCGTTTCCCCCGACGACTGCTCCCCTGCAGACTCTCCACATGGACGTGTGGGGCCCAGCCCGCGTCAATGGACAGGGCCGCGAGCGCTAATTTCTGCTGGTTGTTGATGACTACACGATTTACACCACGGTCTTCCCCTTGTGCAGCAAGGGTGAGGTCGTTGATGTCTTGATCCCTTGGATCCGCGAAGTCCGTCTCCAGCTCCGTGAGCGGTTCAGTGAGAACCTTCCTGTCCTACGTCTGCACTCTGACAGAGGTGGTGAGTTCTCCTCCGACCTCTTACGAGACTTTTGTCGTGGGGAGGGCATTCTCCAGTCGTTCATGCTACCGGCCTCACCGCAGCAAAATGGGGTTCCTCAGCGCCGCATTGGCTTAGTCATGGAGGTGGCTCGTACCTCCATGATCCATGCGGCTGCTCCCCATTTTCTGTGGCCGTTTGCGGTCCGGTACGCCGCGCATCAGCTCAACCTCTGGCCCCGTGTCTCCTTGCCGGAGACCTCGCCTACACTGCGTTGGATGGGGAAGGTTGGCAATGCGTCGGTATTCCGGGTCTGGGGCTCTCGTGCCTTTGTTCGTGATACTTCCGCGGACAAGCTCTCCTCCCGCGCTATTCCCTGCGTCTTCCTTGGCTTTCCCCCTAACGCGCCTGGCTGGCAGTTTTACCACCCCACCTCGCGCCGTGTCCTCCCCTCTCAAGACGTCACGTTTGACGAGTCGGTTCCCTTTTACCGTCTCTTCCCCTACCGCACTGCCCCTCTCCCCCCCCCGCCGCTCTTCCTTGCTCCAGGTCCCCCTCCGGTAGACCCCCTCCCCTCTCAGGGTCCTGCTCCCTCTGGTGTGTCTCAGGTAGACCCACTCCCCGGGACTGTGCCTGTTGAGGTCGCTGTAGCCTCAGGTGCTAGAGGTGCTGCGTTTGGGGGTACTGTGTCTAGGGGTGCTGAGCCTACGAGTGCAAAGCCTGAGGGTGCAGAGCCTGGGGGTGCTGAGTCAGAGGGTGCGGAGTCTGAGGGTGCTGAGCCTAGGGGTACTGTGCCTGCTGGAGGTCCTACGGGTGCCTCGCCACGACTGTCTCCTTGGCGGGAGCCTCTCACCGCAGCAGCTGCGTGAGTGGTTTGCTCAGCGCACGCGCCTTAGGAGTGGCGCTGCAGGAGCTGGAGGCTCTGCCGCTGGAGGCACTGGAGCTGGAGGTACTGGAGCTACTAGTCTTGGAGGTGCTGGAGTTACTGCTGGAGCTGGAGGTACCGGAGGTGCTGGAGCTGCTGGTCCTGGAGGTTCTCGTACTAGAGGTACTGGAGCTGCCGGAGTTGGTAGTGTTGTAGGCACTGGAGCTGGAGACCCTGTAGCTGGAGACCCTGGCGCAGGAGACGCTGGAGCTGGAGGCACTGGTGCTGGAGGCGCTGGAGCTAGAGGCACTGGAGTTGGAGACTCTGGAGCTGGACGCACTAGTGCTGGAGGCGCTGGGGATGGAGGAGCTGGAGTTGGAGACTCTGGAGCTGGAGGCACTAGCGGTGGAGGCGCTGGAGC